GATTTTTTCCCCCATTTTGTCTCTCATAGTTGAGGTATACCTATGATGAAAATTACAGGCCTCTCTCATCTTTTTAAGTGGGAGAACTTGCACAATTGGTGGCTGACTAAATACTTTTTTGCCCCACTGTAAGTGCTGTTACCTAGCTGGGCATGAAGGCTATCCCATCAGAATTTGAAGGTTGTGCTGTTGAAGATGTCCAAGTGTCTGAAATAAGGTAGACTAATAGGCAGCACAGGGAAGGAAGATGCTTGAAAATGTTAGTCCTTCTCAACCTAGCACCCATTTGGTGTGTGATACTGAAGCTTCCCCATTGATCTCCAGAGAGGAGCAGGCTATGGGAAGATGCTCCTTTAGCACAAGTGAGGAATGGCAGAGTTTTAAACTGGCCCCGGGTTTTGTAGGGGAAAACTTCATTGATTCCAGTTGGAGGGAAACATTGCTAAGACTCCCCCCACCACCACCAACCTTCAGATCAGCGGCTCTGCCTGTGCTCCAGCAGCAGCAGCATGCAGTTTGGACTAAGCCCAGATAAAAATCAAGCCCCAGTTACTCAGGAGTCAGAGCTCACGATCTGGGATTCTCCACATTTAAAGTCAGGAACACGGGTGCCTCTGTGCTGCTGCTGAGATGGTGATGGTTGCCATGTGCTACCAGTAGGGCCTGGGATGTAAAATAGCATGGCGTCATTGCCCATTAGGTGCCTTTTGGTGGCAGGTAGGAGCACCTGTCGCTTGTAGCCTAGAAGTCCTGAGATGCTGAGCCTGGAAAAGACTGGCTACGTTGCTCAAAAAGCCTATCACCCAAGTGCTCCATGCTCATGTTTGCTGGTAGTGGAAGAACTTGTGCGTTGGGGGGTGGGGTGGGTATCATAAGCCTGCCTGATGCTGCTCCAGCACTGGACGAAGGCATGGTTGATGCAGCTTTCTAAGGCCAACCGCTCCTAGATGATAAAAGAAGGCCTGTCCCATTCCCCCTCATAACTGGCATGATATTTGCAAGGCATACTGCTAGAAGTGCAGAAATTCCCTTATCCGCACATCGCTTCCCCTCCGAACTACGGCCCTTTCCCTGGAGTGGACTGTCAGTTATGCTGACTTGCAGCCACAGGACTTGGCTCAGTTCAGCGGAAGACATGATTTCTTTTGCCTGTTTCTTATGTGGGAGGCTTGTTTCCCAGGTCAGGCATTTGAGGTCTGGTGTGCTTTGCGATGAACCACGGAACTGGAGAGTTGGAAGGGACCTCAAGGATCATCTAGTCCGACCTTCTGCAAATTTGCAGGAAAACCACCCATGAGAAGATAGCAGAGAAGGAAAGGGCAGATGGGCACCCCTGGCTTTGGTGAAGAGGAGATCCAACAACGCATGCTTGGAAGCCCAAGAGATGTGCTCTGACATAGCAAGTCCAGGCATCGTCTTCCGTCATTTATACAAGCTTCTGTCACTTGCCTAACTGTGCACTATTGTTCTGCACAGTTTATTACCTACTTTTTATTTCTTGGGAGAAGGGAATCTTACTTCTGCTAGAAATTTTATTCATCCATTCTCTTTACATCTGGAAGAATCCCTTCACATCTGCCCATTCTTAACATCTGGGTTTCCCCCCTATGTGAATGAAGGACCCGTCCAAACGTCTCCCTTGCCACATTGCACTGCAGCTCCACTGCCTGTTCCTCAAAGACACGTCTTCACAGCCCAGCCTCCATCTCATCACCAGCCAGCCATCAAGCAGCCCGTACCCACGTTTTCCCTGCACTCGGGCAAAAAACCCTGCACAGACATTCAACATCTGCAGAAAAAGACAACCGAGCTCAGAGAACACCAAGAACCCAAGAAAGGGTGGGGCATCCTGCCCAAGTTTACTTTCATCCCAGCACTTCTCTTCTGGCTGCTGGAAATCATGCAATAGTGTTATTTCGTTTAAAAAAGCCTAGCGCTTAAAAAGTTGCATCATGATTTCCAGTCCCCAGAACCAAAGAGGCTTTCCCAGCCATAG